TTAGGTTCGATCCGAGCTTTCTTGGCCCTGGTGGTTTGAAAGAAAGTCCTCGCAAGTAGAATGGTTAAGAAGACTTACCTTTGGTCAACATGATTCTCTATGTGCACCTCTGGATTATTGTCTACCTTGGTATGGTCCTGTTCTTAATTCTATTACGCTCTGATCTGTTTTGGATATCCTGATTATTCTTATGTTTATTTGCCTATTACCGTTATGATTATGCGCCGTATTAAGCGCTCGCCAAGCTGATCGATTTAGCCTCGTGGAGCATGTTTGCAATGAACGTCTCCTCGTTGACACGTTTTAAAATCGATACTTTTGATCCTATGGGAGCTACCTTTGCCCGTCCTTGGTACATTCAAGAAGCTGAGTTGGATGATGATGCTCTTCGCAAGTTCACTTCGGCCTTATCACCGAGAGGTACGACCTTCGTCAGAAGTCTGCGTCAGAAAGACCCCCGTCGTGCTGGGTGGAGCTTTCCTCACAGGAGACAAGAAGAAACTCTTAACCGAGCCTTCTGAGGCACTGGCTGAGGTGGTGTGGTCTTACATCAACGTCGCCATCCCCCGCTCAACCTTGGCCAAGGCTAAAGCTGGCAGCATGGAAACTGAGGCGTTACCCGTTCATGCCAGGATGTCTGCTCTTAAAAGGGCCTTACTCACTGCCACTGGAGCAACTTCCATTGCCCAGGGCCTGGGCCCCAGGCTGCAGTCGAGGCTGCTGGTGCTGATGAGAATCCCTTATTCGGCTCCTTTACGGGCGCTGTGAACTTCGCAAGGGTCGCGGCCAGGGCCAAGGAGTTCGAAAAGAAGAGCAAGACTGATGCCGAGAGCCCTGAATGAGCTGTGCTCTCGAATGGTAGTCAAAATCCAGCTGCCGCTGCTAAGCTCCGACAATGGGAAGGCGAGCTGTGAAGCAGGGAGCCGCTCGGCCGGTTCGACTGCACGAAGCCGCAGAACTAGCCGAGATTGCTGCGCAATATTGTTCTCGTTCGAAGGCTAGTCGAACGATTCGCGAACGCGTTCCTCGTGTTGTGTGTTTCTGCAGCTACTGGGTGGGAGACGTTTGTGAAACCGCGACCAGTAGCGCAGATGCCCGACCATGCTCAAACCACAGGCACTGACAGCTCGGAGGTATCAGTGGTGGTGTTTCTGAGGGTCAAAAGTTACCGTCGACAATTTGGAAAATTTTGTACCCTCATTTTTGGTTTGAGCTAACCCTCAGCTTCTCACAGGTTGAGGTTGAACCTTTCCACGCTGGCTGAAGCTGAGTCAGTTCGAAATGTCTCCGGTTTGGGGTCTTCCCTGGGTGGTGTGGGAGGGAAAAAACCGTGAAGAGCAAGCCCTTGCTTGTCTCTTGAGCCAAGCTGACAGATACGAGTTTCTGTCAGCTTGCTCAACATGCAATTGATTATGTTGCACCCGCTGCAATGGTTGATCGATTTCAAGCTATGCACGCAAACACAATTGTGTTCTGGAGCGGCGCATTTCTGCTCTCCGCCCGGAGTCGGAGCTTGCTC